GATAATATGGTGATATAAGATGGTGTCTACAATGTTACAATGGTTATATGTGCAACGGTAATATTTATGATGGTGATAGCTGCATTTGGTGATGGTGATAGGTGTGTTGGTGATATAAAATGGTGTTTAAGATGGTATATCTTGTCTTTGTGTGTTGGTCTGTTGTTGTTGTTCAAGTTTCTGATGGTAAGTTTCCTTGAATTTCTTTTCTTCCTCCATCATATCAAATATCATACCAGTATTAACCTTTTGAAGATATTTAACTACTGATGAATCAGGATTAACTGATTGAGCTATTTCAATATCGTGTGGACGAGGTTTTAAACTGAATACGTCAACTAAAAACCGAACAAGCTCTAAATTAGAACTGATACTAGCGAAATAAAGCATGGTTTTACAATCATCAGTTTCAGCTAGTGCATTACATTTGAGATCAGTTAGAAAGTATTGTACTAATTCCATACTACCAGCTTCACATGCTCCATGAACTGAAGTGTATTCATTATTATCAGGATCATCAGGAGTACAGGGGAAGGTCTCTATGAGATAACGTACCATACGAATATTATCAGAACAAGAAGCATAATGAAGAGGAGTACGACCAGACTTGTCTTTAGGTACTGGATTAGAGACAATGTTGGGTTCCAAATACTGGTATATTTCAATGCTTTTTTCTATAGCAATCATTCTCATCCATGTACCTGTTCTCTCTGCTAGTAAGTGTAAGCAGGTGATGCCATTTTCATCTTCTGCTAATGGATCCAGTCCATGTGTCTCAATTAGTGTTCTTACTATTCCAATATCTCCTCCCTCACATGCTGCATGAAGTAAACCACGTCCTCTATTATCCATTACATTAACACCTTGAGGATAAATACTGGATAAATAACGAAACACATCAATATGGCCATTACTGCAAGCTGTATGTAATACAGTGAATCCTTCATTATCAGTAGCTGTAAGGAGATCATGATGAGTAGAACTACCAGTGACTGAGAACAGTAAAGCTTCAGTGGTATCCTTATGACCAGAGGCAGCTGCTAAGTGTAATGGTGTCTGTCCTTTCTTGTTAGTAATGAATAAGTTATTGTTAGACAGACTGGCTTTTAGTAAAAGTGATACCATATTCTGTTTTCCATCTTGACAGGCTACATGTAATGGTGTATTACCATCTTTATCTTGTACATTAATAAGTACAGGATTATGTGGATTATTGTATATGTCATGAGGACTGTCTAATAAACACTTTATCTCACGTAACCAGACAACACTCATTGAGGGTATACTCTTACTCAGTAAATATTCTAATATTTCATATTTATTAGCTGCTACAGCAACATGTAGTGGTGTACGGCCTTGATGATTGGTTGCATTAGGATTACAATAATTATTATCAATGAGATACTTCAATACATTCAAGTGACCCTTCCATACTAATATGTGAACTTTTCTAGACAAACTTAATTCTTTTTTAGATGCTTCAAAAAGTGAGTTTGACCTTTTGAAAATGAAAAATGAATAACATCCCAACCTTTTTCATCTGTTAGGCTCAGACTACACTTGTAATCCTTCACGTATAATTCCAGTAGTAAAATATCACCAGATTCAGCAGCATAATGAATTGGTAGCCTACCATTACTGTCAGCTTGATGAGGATCTAACTGATAGGTAGTTATTAATTCTTTAACAAGAGATAAGTTAAGAGACAATGAGGCATAATGTAAAGCAGTGAGGCCATTCTTAGTAACTGCAGTAGGAGACAAACCTTGTTCAGTAATAAGATACTGAACTAAATCAAAGTTACCACTCCATGCAGCATGATGTACTAACGTGCGTCCTTCATTATCTGTTTTATTAATATCACAATGCTGTACCTCAATGAGATATTGAGTGATATCAATATGACCATTATGACAAGAATGATGAAGACATGTCTTACCATACTTATCAGTGATATTAGGATCACTTTTATGATTATTAATAAGATATTTAACAGAATTAATACTACCTGCCTGGCAGGAGTAGACTAATGGTGTACGACCATAAGTATCAGTATCATTAGCATTGAGTTTATACTGAGATATGATATAACTTAATACACTAGTAGAACCTGACCAGGCAGCAAAATGTACTGGAGATACATCATCATTATCTAATGTACAATTGATATTATATTCTTCTAATGCTTTCACTAGTAATGTACTGCCACTCCATGATGCTAAATGAAGTAATGACCAACCATCATTTGTAGCGGCATTGATGTCAAAGTTAGGGCAAGTGCTAGCTTTCTTGAGAAGTGAAGAAAACATTTTAACTCTTTCATTTTGTTTGATAAAATCAATATTTTGTTTTATTTGAGTTGTATTAATAATCTGAATAACTGGTACATCACTTTGTGCCATAAGCTTACTATACACAATACCAGCTGAAAAGTGTATACCTGCATTACATGCACGATGTAACCACGAGTAGCCATCATTATCATTAACTAATAATGCTTCATTATCTTGAATACTAACAATATACTCAACAACTGATGATGAAGCAAACCATGAAGCAATATGAAGTAGAGTCCTACCATATTGATCCTTTACATCAATGGATAATTGATATCGATTTAAAAGATACTTAAAAAGCTCAGCATTATTACTCATAGAAGAGTAATGCAATATACTGAGTCCATAAAAATCAGTGGAATCTGGTGAGAAGAGGTTTAATGATTCAAGCTTGTGGACTAATGCTAACTCTCCACTTTGACAAGCTAACAATGATAAAGAGGCACTAACACAATTAATCTGAGAAGTATTACAATTTCTCTCAATAAAGAATTCCACTAGGTCAGAATGGCCCCCCATTGCTGAGTACAGTAATGCAGTGTTATTGCTATTGTCTGGTTGATCAGGAGGAACGTCACACGTGTCTACTAGATATTTTACTATAGATAAGTGGCCTTTATAAGATGCCATATGTATACTAGATACACTATTATCATCACCTTCATTAGGATCAATACCATATTGATCGATGAGTAGTTGAAGGATCTCAATGTGTCCACCGTATGATGCAGAGTGTAATGGGGTCCAACCATGAAGACCACGATGATATGTGCTGTAGCCAAACTTGTTAAGAAGCCATTGTACTTCATCTTTTAATCCTCTCCAAGCTGCTTCATGTAATGGTGTACTGGTATTCTCATACCATAATGGATCACATATATCTATAAATGAAGAATATTATTAGTAATACAAGTTATGTATGGAGGGATTGACTAAAGGTCAGTTCATGTACTTACCAATATCAGTGGATGAGTGCTTAACCTCTTCTATTGAGAACTGGAAAATTTAAAAATATATATATTAAAACTGCATTTATAATTACAAACCTCTCTTAGATCATATTTATCTTCACCACATGTTAGTTCAGTGATACCAATACTAGCTAACTGTTGCTGTAGCTTTGTAGTTAGAGGAAATAATAAAGAATAAAGATACTCAGAAATGAGGTAACCCAAACAGAGAGAACTCAGGTGAATAGATCTGAAGTGAAGATCATATTCAGGAACATCCAAACCTTCTGGTATTGCTCTACGAAAAAAGAATAGGTCATCCAGTGTGTAGTCATCTCTGTCAACTTTAGCAATCATTACTCGTGTACCAGGAGGAACACCTTTTATACCAAACTGTACAGCATCAGCATCTTTCAATAGTCCACCACTGTTTATAAAATAATCCTTTAACTTCTCTTCATATTCTGACCAAGTTCTCTTTAATGAACGATTTTCAGGTAGAAATACTCCAACAAGTTTTATCATTAGTTTATAGTTGAACCATGACACGAACTTGTCTTGTAACAGAGTAAATAATTCTGATAATGTTCCGATATCTTTAAACTCTTCTCTAACTTTTTCAGCAGTTGTTTGCTGTCCCTTTTTAGGACCAAGTAATGACAATGCGTGTGTATTGAGGTAGTCAATGATTTCAAGTAGATCACTTGATTTGAAGAAATTTTTTGTTATTCTAATTGCCTCAAGAAATTCATCTCGTAAATCGTGCAGTTTGCTTGCTAAGTCAAAGTTTTTCCAAGAAAGACCATTAGTACCTTAAAAT